GTAAATTCCTAGGAGTGGAATTGCTGGATCATATGGTAAGTATACATTTAACTTTATAATAACTGCTAAACTGTTTTGCAGAGTGGACGTACCATTTTGTATTCCCAGTGGCAATGTATGAGTTTCAGTTGCTCTGCATCCTTGCCTACATATAGAGTTATCTCATTTAATTTTAATTTGTATTTATCAAATGTCCAAGGATGTTGAACATTTTTTTCTTTTTTATTATTATACTTTAAGTTCTGGGATACATGTGCAGAACCTGCAGGTTTGTTACATAGGTATACACATGCCATGGTGGTTTGCTGCACCCATCAACCTGTCATTTACATTAGATATTTCTCCTAATGCTATCCTTCCCCCACCCCCCCCACCCCTAACAGGCGTGTGATGTTCCCCTCCCTGTGTCCATGTGTTCTCATTGTTCAGGATGTTGAACATTTTTAATGTGTTTTTTGCCATCAATATATCCTCTTTGGTGAAGCATCTATTCCAACCTTTTGCCTGTTTTTAAATTGGGTTGTGTTCTGGTGGTTGAGTTTTGAGCGTTCTTTATATATTCTGGATTCAATTCCTTTGTCAAATATGTAATCTGCATATATTCTTTCCAGTCTGTAGTTTGTATTTACATTGTCTTAACAAATCTTTTGCAGAACAAATGTTTTAAGGTCAGATGAAGTCCAGTTTATCAATTTTTATATTTAATGGATCATGCATTTGGAATAATGTCTAAGAATTCTTTGCCTAATCCCAGTTTACAAAGATTTTCTTCTATGTTTTCTTCTGAAGGCTTTATAATTTTACATTTTCCATTTAGATCTATGATCCAATTTGGGTTCATTTTTGTAACAGGTGTGAGATTAAAGTGTATTTTTGCATATTAATGGACAATTTCACTCTTTATTAAAAAGACTACTCTTTCCTTTATTGAATTACCATTGTACCTTTGTCAAACATCAATCGGTCAGAATTTGGTGGGTCCTCTTCTGTACTCTCTATTCTGTTTCATTAATCTATGAGTCTATCACTCTGCAAATGGGAGTATAGCCATATATTAAGTCTTAAACTGGGGCTAGTGTTATCCTCCAAATTTATAGCTCTTTTCACAAAATTATGTTAGCTATCCTAGATCCTTATGATTTTCATATAAATTTTAGAATAACTCTGTTCATTTCTACAAGAAAAATTATCTTGGGAATTTTATTGGAATTGCACTAAATCTCTTTATCAATGTGTGGAAAATTAAATGTTGTTTGTTTATGTTAATTGACCGTACCCTGTGACAGATCTATACCTCCAAATATTGTTTCCAATACAGAATTTTGTCTCCTGCCTGATTCAGGGATGCATTGGGCTGGGTTACTATTATAGCTGGTTCTTGAGAATGCAAATATCCAAGTAATTACTCACAGTAGACCATAAATACAGACCTAAAAGTTACAGGAGGATACACACCTATCTTATCTCTTTATGCTGTTAGAGACATCTGAGAAAGGTCTTAGGTTAGGTTTAACTCTCTAGATGGAACCACTGACTTTCCATACAAGACTGAATAACCCAAACTTTGAGAGACAGCACAAGGTCAGGCTATTGTGATGTCACATTCCTATGATTGAGAATTAGATTTTTACATTCAGGAGTAGTATACCTCCTATTAATCAATTGGGGGAGAACATTTCCTTGACCAGTAGATGTAGATTAGAGTGGCTATTCTTAGACTAAGAGGAAGAAACAAATTTCTTTTGCTTTGAAAAATTGTTTAAAACTTGTGAGGTATTCTCTAAATATATAGAAAGGCACTGTTTAACAGGTACCCCAAAGATTATTTAGTTATCTAGGGAATGTACTTTATTCGACTCACTACTTACTATGAACTCAAAGTTCCAGATTTAAGTGAAGCTATGTGTTGATAGATTTTTGTTTCATAGATATGGAGCTAACTTTATCTAACAGAAAATATAGTCCCAAAGTCATGGTTTATTCTTCTGAAGGACATTACCAGCTTTGTATCTAATCAAGAAATTTTGTTCTAATATTCCTTCATTAAGTTGTCTATAAATTCCCAGCTTCTCAGATGCTCTTTGAACCTACTAAGTTACTAGTTAGATAAGGCTATCATAATAACATACCATAAACTGGGTGCTTTAAACAACTAAAATTTATTTTTCACAGTTTGGGAGCCTTGAAGTCCAAGATCAAGGTGTTGGCAGGGCTGGTTTTTCCTGATGCCTGTCTCCCCGACTTGCAGAGGGCTGCCTTCTGGCTGTGTCCATACGTCGTCTTCCCTCTGTGTGTGCACATCCATCCTTGTGCAAATGCATCCTTGTATGTCTACATTTCTTCTCCTTTTAAGGATACCAATTAGACTAATTAGGGCTCACCCTAAAGACCTCACTTTAACTTAATTACCTCTTATCTCCAAATACAGCTACATTCTGAGATACTACTGGGGGTAATGACTTCCATTTTTGAAGATCACAATTCAGTCCATAGCACCATGCCATCATCCTATTCCCTCATAATTAATGAACTGAATGCAATCTTAGACACATATTCATTTGTATAAGAGTGATCATTTTAATTTTTTTGAAAAGTATCTTTTAACACTCTTCAGTGTAGTTTTGGTGTGATATTTGACCTTATTTATGAAACACAAGAATGCCTTGAGAATTTCCAGTGTAGCAGTAGGGGGGCCAAGAGTGGGAGAAAACTAAGAATAACACTTTACAGTATAATTTTTCTCATGTATTATCCTTAAACCCATCTCCGCAGATCTTGCCAGTGTATGTTGATCAATAATAACAATGATTACACTGACTTTTGTGTTTTGTTCCTGACTGCTCTCATAGAGCCTCAGCATCATCTAAAATATCTCTTAGATGTTTTCTTTATTGGACCCAGATAATGTCACAAATGTCATTGTGAGCAAATCCTCTGCTGCCAGGCACAGCCCAGCAGGGCATCTTTGGTGTGCAGTCACATCCACCATGCATTGATGGTAATGCGGGACATTCAGGCCTCACCCAGACCAGTTACTCTTCTGAAAAATATTCTTCTGATGCCACTGGTGCTTCCTAGACCTTTGTCTCCAGTTCTCAAATGCCCTGAGTTTCTAAATCTGTGAAGTGGCCTGTGGCTAATTAAGGGAGATTCTTTTTTTGTGCCTTCCTCCATCAAAGGAATCCCAAAGCAGCTTTTTCTTGTGCCACAAAGCTCTACAAATAATTTAATGAATAGCTCTTTCAGTCTTTATGCTCTACTCAGGATTTGATCTTAATTTCAGTGGAAACTAAGTTGGAAGACAATTTCTGTCTTCCATGATTAACACCAAATTCTATTTTTAATTTTTACTTTTATCCAAAAATTAAGTTTTTATTAGTTGGTCAAATTTATTACCACTGGCTCCTTCTTTTCTGAGCATGAATTTTCTTCCTAAAGACTTCTTATTCCCCTGAAAAGACATATGTTCAGGTTATCTCATCGTTTCTCCAGACATACCAGAAGATTCCAAAGCACCTGTGCAAATAGGTTTCTGGTAGAACCCTCCCATCAACTTGCCAATCGTTTTGGACTACCATTTGGATTTGAGTTAAGATATCCTCTAACCCAATACAAATTTATATAACATAATGCCTGAAGGAAAATATGAATACTGTCAAATCTATAGGCAAGAAGACTAAGGCTCAAACCCATTAAGCAACTTGCCCAAGGGATTCCTAGACCTAGGATTTAAATCCAGATCGTGTGACTTAAAATACCATTTTTCTTTTCAACAAACCATAAACAAAAGCCTAGAAATCATCCTAGGAGATCACCTGCCAATCTGTCTACCAGTTCCAGTGGAACCAGCCAATCATTCAAGATTCTGCAACTGACTATGGTAAAAGCAGAGCAGGATCTGAATATAAGTCTGCTTGACCACAGCATCAATAAAAATGGTGTGCAAGGAAATTAAGGGCAGAGGTATTGTAGCCACGAAGAACCCTATTTGAATTCTACTTCTGCCACTTGGACATCTTTCTTAAACTCTTTAAGCCTCAGTTTCCCATGTACAAAATCGAGGTAATAATAACTACACCGTATTATTCTTAAGTGTCAGTATAGTTTTTAGCCTTGGCCCTAAAGAGTAATAGTTCCTCACTAAATGACAATTGTTTTTATGAGTAACAAATAATAAATTGTTAATTTATTATTTTATTTAAACATATTAGGTATAATATTAAGTATATATTTGAGTATAGTAGGTAAATTGCATTCAATATATCTTCTTTTTATGAACAAAAACATTTAATGGGTAATAAGTTTCCACAGTTTAAGTGGTCTCCAACATTTGCAATTAGACCAATTTTGAAATGGCACTCAGGATAGCACCAAATTGGACTGCCAAGCAGGGCTCAGGAAATGAAATGTAAAGAAGAGAGTTTCCTCAAAGAAATGAACTAAAAGCTTGGTAGGATTTATGCTATTCAGAGTATACTGAAAATGGAAGATGATTAAATTTCAGCCCTCTTTACTCTAAAGAAATATATAAAGCAAAAAATTAATTTAAGACACATTTTCCTTTCAAAAAACTTTAAAATGTTCATAATTATCATTTTCACTCTGTTTATTGCTGGGAAGTAAAATAAAACCATCAGTCTTGTTCTCTGCAATCAGTTGCTTATTCTCTTTTGGTAAAAGCTATAAGTGAAAGTTTTCCTGAAGGCAGACTTTCTTTTTCTTTCCTATTTTTAGAAAGAAAACAACAGATGAAGAAACAAAATACCATTTTCCTAATATCATATTTAGAGACCATTATCATTATAGAGAGATCATGTTGAAGAAACAACCTGAAAAAAATGTGTCAGATGCTTAGTCCATGTTGAGTAATATGGTGAATTTAGATTAATGTAATATAGAATATTAATTGCCTATTTAACACAGGACTGAAACACATACAACAATAATAAGCAAAGCAGTTTCATAATTCAACACTGAAGGTGATACACAAAAATGACAGAATGATGGCATCAGATCTACATGAAGCTGACTTGAAAAGACAGAACAGTTCCTTGAGTATGGTAAAACACACCCATGATATTATGTTTCCAAAGATGTAAATTCAAAGGGAAAAGTCTGTTAAAATTATAGAAAGAAGTCTGAGAGGGAACAATTGGTTGCATGGGCTTACAGACCAGCCAACAATGTTAAATTGATAACAGGTGCATTTCTAATAGCAACAGCTTATCTCATAAATTTCTGTATTCTCAGTGTAAGTGCTATGTTTGGTTCTGTGTTGATGTTTGTTCCAGACACTTTAGAAGGCTCAAGCAGCCTTTATATCTAGATAGATAGATAGATAGATAGATAGATAGATAGATAGATAGATAGATAGATAGGCTAGTTTAGATACATAGATAACAGATAAGCCCAAAGCACTAACAGAGCATATACAAATAAAGAATAAACCAGAGATCAATGAATGCTACCAAGGGCCATTGTTATACAGAAAAACTGAGGGGAAGAGGATTTTCACTGAAGCTTTCTCTGAGCAGTTGATAGATATTTCAGCTGAGACCTGAATGGCAGAAGAAGCCAGTCAAGAAAGGATGTGGGCAAGCATCACAACTAGAGGGAACAGCTAATGCAAAGGCCCTAACAGGAAACAATTTTAGTGTGGTAGTGGAACAGAAAGAAGGGCAATGTGGATTTGAATGCAGTGAGCAAGAAACAAGGTGAAATGGAGTTGGAGATTTAGAAGGGGGCTATATCATATAGGTGCTTCTACACTGAAGTAAAAATTATTCTAAATGTGATGGGATGACATTGGACATTGGGCAATGCCCAGATATTACTGGCATTTTTAAAAGATTACTCTGGCTGATGTGTGTAGAATAAATTATAGATGGATAAAAGAAAGGTAATTTCGGCCGGGCGTGGTGGCTCACACCTGTGGCTCACACCTGTAATCCCAGCACTTTGGGAGGTCGAGGTGGGCGGATCACGAGGTCAGGAGATTGAGACCATCCTGGCTAACACAGTGAAACCCTGTTTCTACTGAAAAATACAAAAAACTAGCCGGGCGAGGTGGCGGGCGCCTGTAGTCCCAGCTGCTCGGGAGGCTGAGGCAGGAGAATGGCGGGAACCCGGGAGGCAGAGCTTGCAGTGAGCAGAGATCGCGCCACTGCACTCCAGCCTGGGCGACAGAGCGAGACTCCGTTTAAAAAAAAAAAAAAGAAAAGAAAGGTAATTTCAGTAGGCAAAGGGAAAGTTAATGATAATTTGAAGAAGAATGATGATTTGTTAGACAAATATAGTAGTTGACACTTATTGGCACTCAGATATACAAAGTAAAGGGGAGAAAGGATTAAAGATAATAAAAGAATGTGGAACCTGGGTGACAGACACCTGATTCTGTGACAGTGTGAAGGCTAGAGTCATGAAACTTAGAAGAGGTGGGTACCATCAGGGATGAAGGTAAATTCTGCTTGGGACATATTAAGGCAGAAATAATGATGAAATATATAGTCCCATGAGTCTGTGAATGATTTAAGACTGAAACTAATGAAAACTAAGAAAAATCTGGAAATGGCCATGTATAAATCATTCTAACGAATATGATGGCAAAATCAGATGAGTGAAAAAGCATATAGGGGAGAGAGGAGAAAATGAGATCACCTTAAGAACCATTTCCTAAATAATGTTAATTTTCACTTAAACCTACAGCCTAATTTCTCTCATAGGTGAGGGTTGCAGCTGTGTAAGTGAGAGGTGCCAAGATAAGTGACCTTGAAAACATGACCTGTCGTTTGTTGCCTTGTCACTCCTTTACCATAGTCTGAGACAACAGGATCACATCACTACCCAGTTTACGTCAAATGTCATGTGTCTGATGCCCACCCTCAACCCATGAAATGTTGAGTTCTTTAATTTGTATTTCATTTGTCTTTAAATGCTCTGAATTTCTAGCCTGGGGACTTGCATATATTAACAAAAAAATAAATGTTTGTTGTCTTAAAGAGACATAGTCTATTTAAAACTTGTTTACTCATCTCTATATTACTAGTATATCTCTTTCCTTACATTACACCATAAAACTATATGTCTCCTATTCCTTAGCTTCCCCAAAGCCCTTGTCACTCTTGGTATAGGTACTTCCCACTCTGGGTACTGTTGTAAACCTAGGCTGTCTTTAATGTGGTTTGCATGGCTGCAGAGAAGCCATATGAGATTGTTATAGAAATGCTCAATAGTTGGGCCTAGATAATACAAAGAAGGAATTAAAGGTCTGTCCTCCTAAAGATCCCAAGAGAAGGTAAGAAAAATATCATTCTAGGCCAGGAAATACTGGTCACCCAAGATTATTACACACAAGAAATCAAGAAAACAACCAAGATGCTACAAACACAGGAGTGGATTCAAAATTTGAGTGACTCTAAGGGCTTGATCTTAGAACCTTTGAAACTACCACTAGAAACAAATAAATCCAAGAAACACTAGAAACCTGTCTACTGTTACTTAGAAGTGCCACCTGACAAACAGATGTAAACATAAGGTACTAACAAGAGGCCCCCATCATTCCCATGAAATTCAGAGATCCAGGTACTGAACGAAAGTGACCACAAAAATATTGCCCCAAAGCACAAGCAACCAAAGGCCTTATGCTATTCTTCCCTTATCCCTTCTTTCTACTCACCTACATTCATTCCTGACTCGTGTCTCCCTTGAGGACCTTGAGGCAGAGAAGAGACTATGCTTCCCTTTTTACTGATGTGGCCTCAGTCAGAGGGGATGTTGTGCAGTTACTTTACTTCTTCTAAACATCAAAATGCCAAGGGATTCATACAAAAATCAGGCCAACCATGAACTCAGGTTTTGTAGTCAGATAACTGCCAACAGATGGTGCCTTAGACACCACAATCCTACCCTATTTTAAAACTTCACTTAGCTGGTATTTGGCTTAACTTTCTCTATTTCTCCATTTCAGGAGCAGTTTCTCTCCCAAGTAAAACAAATAACACTGTCAGAAGGTTTATCCTAATTATTAACTTGAATTTATTGCTCTAAAAGCACTAAGTCTTTCTCCTTCACAGATACTGGAAAGTTTAAAATTTTCATGCATTATTACCCACATCACTCCTGAATGAAGATTCAATTAGGCAGTCTCTAATCTCTCATTATTTTCTCAACCCAACTCTCAATCCTCAAAATCACTCCTGTCTTTTCTACACATTCTTCATCAGTCACCAGCATCACTGTTGTATTGAGGACCACAGCCCCAACATGGAAGGTCCTCATTCTTTCCCTAAAACTCAGTAATGGCCTTACTAATATCTCATATGTTGACTTAACTTTCCATCTAATGTAATCTACAAATGGTTTTCATAACGCAAGTTTCTTGCTGGATATCAAGATAAAAGGAAGTATGTTATCCTGCGTTGTTTTAGAGAATAAGCTTCTGATAAAACCACTTACCTTCATTTTTAATTCTGCTGTGTTCATTTCGTCAGAGGGGTCACACCTATTTGTATCTATAGCTTTGAAATATTCCTAAAGCTCTTCACTGAGCAACCCAACTGATACACTTGGGTTTGGATCTTTAACTCCATTTCAGGCTGTGTCAGTAACAGCCAAGTAGAACTTTATCTTTAAGTCAGACTAAGCCAAGCTGATTGGGACAGATATGTGACAGAGTTTATCAATTCACCAGGATTCTTACAATTCTATTAACTGTGACTATTCCCATTTAAAACTCATCTCTTACTGCTTAGAATTGATTCAATTGATTGGCAACACTCCCCACTGTGACATTATCCCTTAGTTTTGCTTTGCTTGCCAGAAGCTCTCACGTTGTTTGACACCATATGATCCCCAATTTAAGAATTAGTCAGGGATGGCACAGAAGGATTTGAATTCTGTAGCAGTAAAAACAGTACAGTCATTAACTTAGCTCTTTAGTTTGTTTATCTTGGAATTCATCTAGTTCCAAATATTCTGACCAAAATTTAAAAACAATAACAAAAAATTTTCTGTTAATTTTAAAAGTATAAGTTGAATCACAGCTACCAAGCTAACAGTGGAATGCAATCTCAACACTTCAAAGAGAATGAAATCTGAATATGACCAGCATGTTATTTGAGACTGTGAGAACCTAGATTGTGCCAGGGGTGAGTCTCTTACTATATACCTGACATCAGAATAAGACACTCAGAAAGTTTAGCCAATACCATGACTTTCTCTAAACATTTTCCCCAAGCATCCTTTAGTGGAAGTTTAAATTTCACATCTTCAGGCTAAAATGAAATTCCTTAAATCTTTCCTTGCATGACTTGTTTTGAAACAGAATAAGCTTTCTCCTGATTGACCAAAATAATTATGCCTGTGTGCAGCTTCCAAGATTTAAATTGGGAATAAATCTTAGCAGGATAAAAAGTCTGGTACTGTTCTTTGTTGGGTCTAAAGAAGTGGTGGTGGGGAATGTGGTCTTAGAAGATTTTGGAGAGAATTCAGTCTTTTGACACTGAATGCAGCACCACCACGTGGAAACCTCCATTACCACTAACCGCAAATCACAGAAACTTGGGCAACACCTGAGCATTCCTGTTCTGTGGCCAGCAGGGACATTTCATGGCCTTTATGCTTTAAAAACCTTTTTCCATTCCTGTATATTTCCTATACTTTCTTCTACTTTTTTTTATGGTTCTTATTTTTTAAAACGTTAACTTTTCCATGTATTTAGAATTTTTTTGCTATTTAAAGTAAGGTGAGAATCTAATTTGTTTTTCCCCCTAAATAACCAATTTCAACCCTGTCCTACCTCTAATTGAATTATATTTTGACTTTAAAGGTATCAAGTTAAAAAAAATCAATAACTAGATAATCAGATGTTCATGTGACCTACTAACTTATGCCAATCAAATCCTATACTTAATAATAACACAATCTAAACAAATACCTATTGGCACAAATGGCTGAAGGAATAGTCATCAGTGAATATAACGTGCTTTGTTTCTGTGAAATAGTTTTAAAAATAAAAATATGGAAGCCCTATTTACCTTTCTGTCTCCTTTAAATAAATATA